GCTCGATTTGTGGGACCATTTTGTTTTATAAACTTGAACATTGTCCACAAACGAGCATTCATAAATTCGAGGACTGACATTTACTACACCTTCTGGCACTAAATGAAAAGAACGCTGTCAAGTAATCAGCACCATATAAGTATTAGCGCAAATCTTGGAAAGGAAAGTCTACAAAACAATTTGATGTGTCCTTTCAGGAATTGCACAAATGTTGTTGATCCATCTATTTACAAATCTTCTTTCTTTCTTTCTAGTTATATTCCACTTGGTGTTTTTTCAGTATGATAGGAATAAATCTACTAATTCATTACCCTATTACTAGTAGATACTAGAAACAGGCAAACTATTTCCTTCTATAATTTCAATTTCAAATATTTTGTTAATCATTAAGGGTTCTTCAGTTATTCCTAGTCCTCAAGCTTTTTCTTTGATTTCAAAACTACCCATATGTATAACTGTTTTAAAAGTTACAGCTTTGCGTAGGACCTATGAATTTTACAATATGTACTTATTTCTTGAATGTTTTTTTTTCTGATTGAGCTCGATTAAGTGGATCGATACCTTTCAGGCACCTCGATGAAATTAATGATTATATAGTTTATCTATTTTTATCTATTGTTTTTTTAAAAAATCATAAAAACCTATGATACCCTTTCAACAAAAACATGCTGTTGTAAAGGGTTTATAGCGGCTCTTATCGGCATAATTTAAACTCATTTATACTATTTTGTTGTAGTTATATATACCTGGTTTACTAAATAGACATCAGTCCAGCAGTTTGATAATGACATTTGTTCATCTTAGCTAAAATGGCGACATTCCAGGAAAAATACAAGCACATGTTTACACTTAAACTCGATTTACGATTATACTTGTATGACACATACAAAGTCCGGAAATTGTGTAGATAGTTTGATATAACTTTAAACCGAGCATAGGGATTGAAGTCTACTATTTGTCATTAAGTTCAAATATATTTGTTTGAAAATCTTGATGAATTTTTAACTACTATTAAAAACTATCTAATTAAAAAAGAAAATATTTTTTTTAAGACTACAGTTTAGTGCAATTCCCATTTCAAGAAGACCCTTGTTAAACAAGCAAACCTGCAAACGGAAAAATACAAGCAAAATGTACTTTTTATGTAAGTCAGTGGTGAATGGTATAACACAATAAACAAGATTTTTAGCACACCTGGCCCGAATAACAATATAAGCTTTTCCAATAGTTTAGTGTCCAATGCCTTAAATCTTTTCTCGTAAACCCATGTTCTCTAAAACGGATCAACTTATTGCATTTTAAGTGTTTTTGCTTTATCTTTTGGATGTCTACTATAACATTTGTTATTTTCAAGGTAGATCAACAATTGAACATATTGGTCAAACTACACATTTGGCCAATATCTCGAAAACTATAGAAATTACAGGGGAAACAACTATCATTGGAAATAATGGCAACCACAACAAGCTCCATGTACTCTGATTTTTTTTAAAGATGGGTCCACCCATTTTATAGTTATTGTCACCGAAATGTAGTTTTCATTGGCTTATCTTGGCTTTTGGTTCGAAAGCTATTGAAGGTAGGTTAAAAGTGTACTTAAAAGCGAGAACTAAAAGTGATCGTTGGTCAGTCAGTACCAATAACAATGAGCTGTTATTACAAAAGTAAACCACATTTTGAAATTTGATCGACCTACAGGTTTTCTTTTTAAAATTTGCTTAATCTGTCGCTGTAGTTTGGGTTTTCTTTTTTTTTTTTTTTAGAAATAAAGACTCTGTTAAATTATTGTTATAATAAATAAATTGACTTAATATAGTACTATGAATTTATATATTTTCTCGGGTACCAATTTTCGTAGATTGAGGAAAACTTGCATTTTTGTGGAAATAAGATTTCGTGGTTTTGCCAAAGTCTGCATGCAAGCCTATAGAAAATATTTAATTTGTTGAACATCTTAATTTTATGGTTCAACTTTACCCACGAAAATATATATCCAACGGAATATAATGAATCCACAGCTAATAATAATAATTTGGTTCGCATTACATATTCAACCAATAGTAGTTTTGTCCTCTTACTTGATTGAAAAGGGTAGCAGTACGTACCACAGCAGCCAAGATTTAAAAAAAAATGTGCCCGTTGAAGTGTATATATTTTCAGACTACATTTGGGAGTATTGGCATATGGGAAAAACAACAAGCATATATGTTTCTGTTAATTTCACGAATTCGGTATTTTTAAAACCCGATTTTTAAAATTAAATTTGATAAATGAAATTCCTTCAATTGGCAAGTTAACAATGGAATTGACTTATGTGATAACGTCTTTGATATTAATTAATTCTACATTTTTTAGCAGAACAGGTATATTTAAAATCAATTCAATGAAAGAACATAACACTTTATTCATTTGTGTTCCGAAGCGCTCTTCTAGATTTATCATCATCAGGAACGCTTAAACCAAAACATCTGAAAGCCAAGTATGTTTAAGACCTAGTCACGTGCAGAGCAATATGCCCAAACTCCTTAAAAGTATGTCCTCCAAATTAATATCCAAAGTATCTTCTTTAACGTAATGTCATAGGACATCTCACTTTTAGAATGGTCTTTGTACACATTTTGTACTAATACCCCGATCTTTTCAGTAAACATGCCATCAAGTATGATACAAATTTGGTTAAATTGTATGTTAACATGCAAATATTAAAAAGTGTGAAAACCTTTATATGCACAAAATCCTTTATAAAACATATGTATTTTGTATCGGATAATATAATCGACACCTTTCATTTGAACGCCCTGTCCAAACCAAGACTAGCACAGACTGTTAATCAATTGTCTACTATTCCAACAATGATCATGGGAAGAACTCTTCCACAAAAGTAGACAATATAGTTGACTTTAATCTTTTCATTTACATTGAAGGTTCGTGCACTTAAAATTTCTTTAAGCTGGTGGTGGTGGTTATTGCCCCCATATGAAGCTTGCTTTTTTTTCTTTAATTTTTTGCAATGGTATAAAGAGAGAATTTTGTAGAATTAATTGGAATACAAGGTCTGACATTGTTCTTTTAGAATGAAGCAGGATATTTGTGAAGTCTTGTAAACCTACTTTACCAAATACACATTAGCTGCAGTGTATGTTATATCAATCTTATCAAAACTGTTGGCCTACTAGGAAGTTAACAAGGACATATTCATACTTAAACTAGGTACATGGTTTATCGTTCATCATCCGGAAATTGTGATATATATTTATAACAATAAGTTTACTTACTAAGAATTGAAAGCTATCATTTGTCATTTATTTGGAATATCTTTTTTTAAGTAGATGTATATTGAATGGATTGTTTGTGTATGCGTATCATTAAAATGCCATCTGAAGTGTTTCTTTATCAATTAATGAACCTATTGTAAAAAAAATTAACTAATTTATGAAAAAAACACGATTGAACATTGTAATATTTCTGTCTTTAATGAAAGACGATGCTATTTCAGTATTTTAAAAATTTATCAACAAAATCTAGATATGCTGTAACAATTGTTACAGTTGTAGTTAGATGGTTGACTTCTTGATGACTAACCCTTGTCAATGTGTTGCCATCGTAGATTCTGTATGAGTTCTCCAGTATAAACAAGGAACATGATTCTGTATTTTTATGTTAGGTATTTATTCATTAACGTATTTTTTGTTCTTAAATACTTTCTAATATTTAATATCTCTTTTATCTTGCCTTGTTTGCAGATGTGGAATTTAAATCTCTATTTCAATGTAAATCAACATCAACTGCTCAAAATTGTTATGTTTTCATAAAATAATCAACATAAACAATTATTAAGTATTAGTATTAATTAATGTTATAAGAATTAGATACCCTTAATATATTTCACGATCAGATTCACCCTTTGGGATTTTACTTTTTTTATGTTATGGATTCATAATCACAGAGATCAATATAAACATGATAAACATCCTCAAACTGAAGTATAACATTTACAATCTCAATTCTATCAACGAACACGCAATAATCAGTGGGATGCCATCACCACCACATTGATTAACTTCTGCTGAATGCTGTAACAGTATTTGAACAAAATCAAAATATCCATTCGGATATGCTATAGACAAGGTTTTTCTGACTAGCACAATAAATTAAGTACATCTATCAGCATCACATATATCAATACCAACATTGTCAGACAGGTGTAACAGTTCTTTACCAAAATCAATATAGAATAGAAATTGGAATCATGAAATGTTATAAAGAGACAACAACCCGACCAAAGAACAGAAAACAGCCATCATTGGGTCTTCAACGTACAAAATGTAGCAAGAAAATCCCGCACCCGGAGGCAGGCTTCAGCTGCCCCTAAACAATAATGTATATTAGTTCAGTAAAATTGACGCCATAAAAAAATCCAAAACATACAAATGAACCAATTTAAAATGAAAAAAAAAACCACACACACGACTAACAAAGGCTAGAAGTTCACAACTGGGACAAACGCATGTCCATTAAGACTAACCATATAAAGGGGCGATTCACCTTTGTTGTTATAACAATTTGATCTGCTGCATGTTGTTACAGTTCCTTAACATGTCCTTCCTGACACGCACAACATAAAGAAAAGTCACTATCGTCTCTCTTTATGTCACTTTTTCTACTAATCAACAATCTCACGGGGTAAATTGAACCCCAATAGCAACTTCCTGCAAGGGCTATCGTTACTGTCAAAATCATATTTACAAGCTTCCTGTTTTGGACGATCAAATTCATATTTCTATTATTAAACACACTGACTACAAAACCAGTTTCACAGTCTTTTAGAAATCTTTGTATATATCTTTTGAAATGGATATATGGTACTAGGATTCATATGGCAAACTCTATATCTATGCCTATGTTATCTGCTGTCCATACAAAGTTTTCGTCTATGAAATCAATATTTGCATAATCTATGAAGGGCTTTAACATCTTCTCCCAAAAGAACTTATCCTGCATTACTTAGTATATTTAATTAACTTTCTTCAGTGACAACATAGGTACCAAAAATTGTTTAAAGGGATTTCTTTAAATTGTTAACATGTGTAACTTCATTTAGCTCACTATCTTCAAGTAAATATGTTACCACAGCCCTATCTCCTTATCTTTTGTGTCAAAGTATTCTTCATACAGTTTGTTGTTCAAAATCTCATAAGGAGCAAGGTACAGTATTTCATTAGTATCTTAAAGATACAGACATTTTAATAACATCTAAGAGATTGTCGTTTACGTTCATACCTTTTTGCTTTCATATAAACTATATAAAAGACGACACAATGAATATTTTCAAAACAATTCTCTAACTTTATCAGACTGTCCCTAACGTACACATTAGATTAACAACTTTCAGTAGCACTAGGTCTTAATTAATGCTTGTAAACTTTGATTAAAATGACACGCTTTGAATGTCGACAAACGGCAAAATTGTTCATCTTACAACAAAGCTAACCTGCAAGACGACACAATTGTAGAACATTTGTTTTTAAGAAGATATGTTTTGTAATCAAGCCTTTCCAGTCAGTTTCAATATTTTGATTTAGAGTAAACAGTCAACAAACGACATCAAAGACAAATATTGATTTCATTTCAGGTTTATCCAATTTTGTCATTTCTGCATGAATATCACACCGGATAATGATATAATCTGTTTCATCATCGTCAGTACAACATGTCTTGAAAATATATTGTATACAGTGCTGGATTTTGCCATGATTGTTAACATTTTTTTTAACAAATTTGTTTAAAAATATCTGTCATTACTAAATTATCATCTTCCGTATAGAAAGAATTTTTATTGGTCTCTTTCCAAGGGCGTATGAATCTTGCAAGCGTTTTTCCAACTTCCCTGAAAAAAAGATATTAACAAAAAATTGATTATCATTGTTTAGCAAAATTTTAAAACATCAGTATAGTGAACGACTTTGAAATCCAATTTTATGATACCAAGTAACTAGATGCTATATGTAGCTTGCATTACACATTTTACAATTTAGCAAAAGCATTTTCCCACTGTGCTTGTTTGCAGCAATGGCTGCTATGTTTATGAAAGACATCATAATCGGTTTTATGCCTAAAGAAAGTGTTCCAAAAAAGATTGATAATTTACATCTGCAATCATCTGTGACACAGATATTTCATAACGGACGACCAACTCGTTATTGCGTCCGTAAACTTTTCGAAATGCACTTAACCACAACGTATATTAAAAAAGTAAAGGGCGATCTACAAGGGATAGTCATCATGAAAATATATACTATCCTCATTTCAACAATTTAAGACTGATTGTTTTGACACAAGTACGGTTCGTAAAGCAAATTATACAATAAGCATTTAAATATGAAATTCAAAGTATAATAAAACAAGAAAGGATTCAACAGCAGATCGAACAATTGGTTATACGGTACAATTCATCATTACCAAATTATGGGGTGCCTAGGTGACATATCGGTCTAAGTAAGTCGTCCACGTTATCATTAGTTTGTCAAAACTGAGGTTGTGAGTATAAATCCGTGCGTTACATTTGCGTTTGACTTCTGTCTTAATTGACTAGAATTGCCAGTTTTCTGTCCAAAGGTCGTTGGATGTCACCGGGTACTCCGGCTCCCTCTACAACTAAAAACTGGGCGCCGAGATATAGCTTATAGTGCTGAAAGTGGCGTTAAACACCATCATCAATCATCAATCAATGTAAAGTTATGAATAAGACAGCGCATGATCACATTTTATGAACGTCGAGAACATATGTTCTACTTGTTTCAAATAGAATAACAGACGACAAGGTTTATACACCTAAATTGAATACAATCTAATCAGTGTGAAGGGGTTTAGAATTTGTGGATATCAGGCTGGCGGTTCATTAAATGTTGTTGATGCAATGGATTAAACCGTATTTCCCATTATGAGCACACCTTTGTTATCATACAGAATATGTTCCCACCTTAAATGTGCAAGGCATTTGTGATGATAAAATAAGGTTAGTATATGTCAGATATTTTTTCACATCTCAAAAGTATATTATATATTACGGAAGTATTTTGTTTTAATAAAAGGTTGTTTCTTTCATTTTATAGTGATTAATATACTATAATATATAATATTTTAACTTTGATCTTTGCGAAGAGTTGTATTTGATTAACGATCATTTGTATTTGACAGTTGTTATCCATTCGTTTGATGTGTTTGAGCTTTTGATTATGCCATTTGATTAGGGACTTTCCTTTTTGAATTTTCCTGTGAGTTCAGTATTTTTGTGATTTTACTTTTTTTGTATATTTCTTACATTTTTTTCTTTTATTCATCATGTTTTCTGTTTTACATGTGATTATTGATTTACGATAATTTTGAATACCATTTTTTTATTTGTTTAAGTTAGAAAATTTGACAGTTTTTAATATCGACTCAGCTGCTAGTGGTCGGTTTGATTTTGAATACCGAATAAAAAGTAAAACAAATTAAGAAATGAACTCCAAGGAAAATTCAAAACGGAAAGTCCCTTATCAAATGGCAAAATTAAACCTGGTTTAATAGCTAGCTAATCCTCTCACTTGTATGACAGTCGCATATTATTCCATTTTATTGACAACAATGTGTAAACAAAACAAACAGACATGATAGGTACAAATGCCAACAATAGGGTAACAGCGGTCAATGTAATTGTCTTAAAATCTTAATCATTATAAAAACAAACAAATATGTCAACAGAGAAAACAAAATGGTATATAGACAAAGCACATACGCAAAATTGAAAGACAAGAATACAAAAAAATGACCTCATCACAATAACACAATGATGCATAAGTACCAAGCCACGTCAAAAAGGATATTACCAAAAATGGACTAAACAGTAAGGTTAATAATTTACAAAGACAAATAGAAGAACACAATAACACGGAATTAAGATGAGAAATAACGTCAGTACCTAGAATCTATATTTCAAGACCATCGTGTATTAGTTGTGAAGTTGACACGGAATATTTATCTACAAGGTATTGGTATCTTTCGATGAACAATTTTACAAAAAAGACGAGACGTTCTTTGACATAACCCTGGTTCATCAACTTTCTGCCCAGGCACTGGTGACGTTTTATAAAGTCTGATTATCAGCTGCAAGCTCTTAGATAACGAAAGAGTTGAGAAATGTATATCCCATATGGAGGTAAAGTTGGTATATTGCTACTAAAGTGTCATGGATTTTTGGTACTATGACGACTGCTTATGTCAAATTCGAGGTATGTCTAAAAATAAAATTAGGCGAAGAAAGCCGTGTATGTTGTTTCTTTAATTTCTAGTTCTGGAGGATATAATAATGGAAAGCAATCAGAAAAGTTTGGATTGTTAATGGAAAGAACATCATCAATATCTGAATGCGAAATTAAATGATCTGGCTTCTTTGAAATTATCATAAACATTTTCTTGCCATTTATGTGACACCTCTTTAAATAACATAAATAACTCGCTCTAAAAGGAAATTTATCATCAACTTTTATGGAAGAGCTAATCTAACGGTAATTGATTACCTTAGATTTAGGTAAATTAATAAACGAATTCATTAAGTATCAAAGAAAAAAAAACAACGTTTATCATTAATAAAGGTTGTGAAACGGCAGTCATGTCTGTTCATACATGCAGATCTTAAGAGTTGGATTTACCTTTTGGAGTTCAATTAATGACCTCAAGCTTGTTTTTTACCTTGATTTTTATCTTCTTTACCAATATTTGAAATTTGAACATCGTTTGAATCCAGTGTGTGAGCAGAAAGTTGATGAGCCAAGGTTATTTTTATGAACATCTCGTCCTGTTTCTAATAAAAGTTCATTGGAATATACCAAGACCTTGGTGATACATATTCCGTATCAACTTCATAAATAATACATGATGGTCTAGAAGTATAGATTCTAGGTACTGACGATGTTTATCATCTTAATTACATGTTAAAGTTCCTTTTTTTCCTTGTATTGTTTTAACCCTTACTGTTTATCTATTTTTTATTATATACTTGACGTGGATCGGTACTTATACATCCCCCATTGTCTTATTGTGCTATGGTCAATTTTGAGTTCCTGTCTTTCATTTCTGCTTATGTACTTTGTCTATATGCCATTTTGCGTTTCTTTGTTGAAACAGTTATTTGTTTGTATAGTGATTAAGATTATATTGCAACTTTGACTGCTGTACCCCAATTTTGACGTTTTTATTTATTATGTCTGTTTGTTTTTCTCACGCATTGTTGTCAATATAATGGAATTCTATGCGACTGTCATACAAGTGAGAGGTTTAACTAGCTATAAAACCATGTTAAATCCATCATTTTCTACATAAGGAAATGCCTGTACCAAGTTAGGAATATAATAGGTGTTTTCCATTAGTTAAATGTGTTTGAGCTTTTGATTTTGCCATTTTATAAAGGACTTTCCGTTTTGAAATTCCCTTGGAGTTCGGTATTTTTGTTATTTTACTTTTTGTTAACATAATTACTGTAGCCTAAATTTAAGATAAGATGTTTGTAAGAACAAATCTCTTTTTGTGTAGTATCACATTGTCTGCTGGCTGTTGTAAACTGGACATGAGGGTCTGAATGGAGGTCCTTCAATTAATTACTCTTTAACTTTTTTAATCATTTTTCTCTATTCTGTATTGCCCATTGTTCTCAATTTAGTATATTTCAACAACCCATTATTTTCTATTCTATATTGATGGAGCCTACTTTTCTCTATTCGTTATATTTTTTTGACTTTATCTGCACTTCCTGCGCATATTTTTTCTATTCTGAAAATCCTATCCACATCCTTATTCATATGGCGGAGAAAAATGTATGATTGATGTGAATACGAGATTGAAAGTCAAAGATTATGTGGTCAAGTGTTGTTCAATGGTTGTTTTTTTTTTGTTGGTGTGGTTATAAGTGTTTACCGGTTTTTTATATAGATTAGACCGTTTGTTTTCCTGTTTGAATTGTTTTACACTTATGTCTAGTCATTTTGGGGCCCTTTAAAGCTTGATATTCGGTGTGATTAAAGGCTCCGTGTTGAAGGTCGTACATTGACCTATATTTGTTTACTTTTTACACATTGTGACTTAGATGGATAGTTGTATCATTGGCACTCATACCACTTCTTATTTATAAGATATATTAAACATAATCTAATAAGTAACTGAACACGCAAGGTTGTAATGCTGTGAATTGGGTCATGGTTTTGATTCCAGATAATCCCTAGCTACTGCTATTTATTTGATATTTGATACTCTTCAAGTCAAAGGGGCGAAGCCTGAGTAATTTAGAATATGGAGTATCACATAATCTTCCGGACTTCAACTGATAGTAAACCAATCTAACACAACATGTTTTGGTTCTCACCACTATGTTGGTTGAGATCTCACAAAACACATTTAACCCCCCCCCCCCCCCCCCCCCCGTATGTATGTGCCTGCCCCAAGTCAGGAACCTCTGACCTTTGTTAGGCTTGTATTTGTTTTAAATTTTAATTCATTTATATGTTTCGGAGTTTAGTGTGAAATCAATTTTCACTGAACTAGTATACATTATTGTTTAGGGGCCAGCTGAAGTCCGCCTCCGGGTGCGGTATTTTCTCGCTGTGTTGAAGACCCATTGGTAGCATTGGGCTGTTTTCTGCTATTCAGTCGGGTCGTTGTCTCTTTGACAAATTCCCTGTTTCCATTCTCAATTTTATATTTTGATATGTACAGTTTCACAACAGTTTACAATTAGTGAGAAAATGACATGTGCATGACAATTAACGCTGTATATTTAACATTTGTCAAAAAGGAAATGTTTACCATACGATGAATTAACACACCAATTCATCACAATAGCATAATTACTAAATTAAGATAGTAGATATATATATTCTGACAAGTCTGCTGCAATTATAGCTGATAGAAAATAAACTTACTAAGGCTGTGTTTAGAAATATGTTGATCGTTTGTACGTACTAGTTCTTCTATTCTACAATGAATCATTTGCATATCTGAAAAAAATACAGCAATTGATATATTACTTATAAATTTGAAGGAACTATAACTATAAGGAAGGTTTTCTGGCTAGTTAGCTTTTAACATGCTTTTAAATGTAATGTTTTAATTCATTTCTAGCCTAATTTTTATCTGGGAAGCCATATCAAATTAAATTTTTCGGCTACCGACCTAAACGCTATCAAAACAATGTATGGCTAGTTTACTGGTTTTTTTTGCAGTTTTACAAAGCATATTCAGTTTCAATGCAATTGAATATGTTATAAATTCAGAAGTCTAAGTTGTCTGTAAAAGCATAGCAGATCTGATGAACTTATTATTTTCACTGTAATTCCGTAAGATTTTTCAGGTGAAATTCTCTTGATTTTGACAGTATTTTTCTTATGTTGTGCTATTACACCACTGTCAAAGTTTATCGTGATAGTAGATCGCCTAAAACATGTATTAACCCGCAACATATCTTAATTATATGTTCGAAGTCCGTAGCTTGTAAGTGGTTGTCGTTGGTTGCTGTCCGTTGTATTTGTGATTCCTTTTAAACGCTGTTTGTTTTTTCTCTGTTTGAATCATTTTAAATTTTGACATGTTGAAGCTGTTAATATGTTATGGGTTATACTAATTGGTGAAGGCCGTGCGGTAAATTACAGTTGCCTAGTTTCATTTGGACTGTGATTGATTGCTGTATTGTTTGCAGTAGAGCACCATCATGTGGTGTATGTCCTTATTTTGGTTTGTTTTTAGTATTTTCCTTGTGAGAGATGTTTACCTTTAGTGTTTATTTGTTATATATTTTTAAAGGTAGTATATGGTTTTATCTTTACTCACTTTAAATGGTTTTACTGAGAACTCTTATAATTTCTGTATTTGACCTCTGTTTAATACACTATACTCACGTGTTACTGTGTCCAAAAGTTTATTACAGTTTTTATAAGAGATGTCCGAATAGACAACTAGTACTTATTTTTTAAATAATCGATAATTGTGATCTGTTATTAATGCTATGACTTTCGGCCTATTTTTTCTTTTTCTATTTTGTCAATGAACATAATTTTGAGATATAAGTAGTATATTTATACATTAAAAATGTCTAAAAAATGCATTCCTAACCACAAATAAAGAGTAATTTCTTAATTCAGTGGGAAAGAAAGGAGACAATGCCTCGATTTGCAGATTATTTGACACAGATATACGTGAATATCAACAGACGTCAGTAGAGAAAATAATGTTCCTTCAACATGAGACTGAAATGTTAAGATATGATCACTATAGCCATGTAATTAGAGGTGATGAAAATGTACCAAAATATCTTCCTCAATCGGAAATAAATTTTTGGACACTCATTTAATTGAATAAAAAAGTAATATTTATATTCAATTCAATTACCATTTGAAAATATTATTGCCTATTTAATTGCTGCATCTTATTTAAAGCCTTCTGATGTACGGGAAAGGAAAACATTCAAACCATACTAATTGAAACTGTGATGAAATGATTAAAGGGTAAATTTTCTTATGAACAAATATTATGTTCGTTCGGCAGAACAGTTTTGCGACAGGTTGAAGGTATTCATATGGGTACGGATTGCTCAGCTTTAATAGCATATTTGTTCTTGCATTATTATAGATCACAGTTTCTGGCTAAATTCAGTAAAGATCTGTCTAAATTCTATTCAGTTGATAACGTTAAAAAACTATTTTAACCTTGATCATATTTTTGTAATGTTGTTGGCACCTTCTTACGGTGTGTATTATTCACAATTCATTAATTACTCAAACGTTTACTTTATTCTTTCATTGATACACATATTTGTTTTTGATGTTTGACTGTACCTTTTATCTACGGTAATGTAGTTTACAAAGCCTATGCATTAAGATACGACCCGTCTTAATTCACTCATTTTTTAAATAAACTTATTAATGATTAAAACTTACCAGTTTAATACCGTGATAAATCTTTGAACACTGTTTTATTGGTACTAATATTTATTTTGTTTTCGATGAATTAAAACGTTACAACAAATTTATATATGTCTTGTACTATAAACTTATGGTCCTAATCCTGTCGATATTATTAACTTATATTTTGAAATCGCATCTGTGAGAATTTAATTGACAAATTTTACGCCAAATCAGTTGGAAGCGTACCGATTGAAAATCAGGGCCTGTAATTCAGGTGTTGTAATTAGTTGCTGTCTGTCATTTTCTTTTTCGAATATTGTTTTCTCATAAATCTGACCTTTGTTTTCTTTTTCGTTTGTATTGTTTCAAATTCTGTCATGTCGGAGCCTTTTATAGCTGACTTTACAGTACTGGTATTGTTCATTGTTGAAGGACAGACGGTGACCTATAGTTCGCTTAATTTGAACAGTGTTAGTTATCTCATTGTCTCAATGGTGCCACATCTAATTGTTTAATACTGATGAACATGTCATATCAACTTGAAATCAGATTTTTTCAAATGGAATTCAAGTATAAAAGGGTAACTGTGGTGGCTTGGGCACTTTGATTAAGAATTTCAATAGTAATCCAATGTGAATCATGTTGCTAATTACACATATTACGTCATCACTTTTAGAACTACCAAACAGCTGAATTAATCGTATTGGTTACCTCTTTCTTTCTGTCTCTCTCTAAATTTCTTCTTTCCTAAAACAAGACAAATTTATACTTTTATTTTTCATTGAAATAAGGGACTGCCCTGCAATTTGTGTTGTCAGTGTACAAAACGCTGCTGTAAACTGTTGGAACGTCCAATGAAGGCTTTTAATATCGCAGTTACCTTTTTTATCTTAATGTTTTGTTTGAATAATGTACTGCTATGCTCTTGATTTTTACTTAAACATTGTTCATTGTAAGATCTCCTTTGCACATGTTTTTATCAAATATATAATATTTATCTATAATAAAATGCTAATAATTTCTATCATTGATAATTATCATGCAATGATTTCTTGAACCGGTTTTGAACTTAATTCGCATAAAGTCAGCTGGACAATGTTTTTTTAAAGTTTTATTTGACATACATGTATAGTAAAGCATTGTTATATAACATTGGTACAGTTTAGTTTGACTATGACTTTGCAACTTGTCATCCTATTCAAACATATGAACAATACAACCTGTGTAATTAGTAGAAATTGGTCTGTTAACTCTTAATAAGTACCAGAGTATATATCTAGTTTAAAAGGTTTTTTTTGTATTTGCTATATGTTGTAGTGTTGTTTTTTTTCCCATCTTTTGTCGTTTAGATAATTAATACTTTAATCTTAGCAATGTAAAACAGTGTATTGCTCACCAGGCATTTGCAATGCATAACACAAAACAGGTGTGTTAAATGAATCCTGTGTGAACAATAATCTGTCATGCTGATCATTTTGCCTGGACAAAATTCATGTTTATCAATTATAACTTGAACAGCATATCAAAGATGATGAGCAGAAATGACAAGAATGAGTTAAAATAGTGTTTAGCGGGTAACAAATGATGCAGTATGTGCAAGGAGTCGACTGGCTATTTCCTGCAAATGTATTTATATGTAGAAAATACTTACAAAAATAACGAATTCTAAAGAAAATTAAAAAACGTGGGAAGTACATAAAACTTGACAAAAGCATACGTTAGACTATGTCAGTTATAGAATATGCAGTTGATAGTTTTTGTTATTCAAAGTTTTAGTCAATCTATTTTAAATATCACGATGTACAGCCAAACAGAAAAACAATTGGTAAAAATGTCAGTCAAGGGGAAAATTTTTATTAGAATCCTTTTTCCACTTGATAGTTGTTGTCTATCGATTATAGTTTTCAACAAAGATCACGGATCATAATACCTTTTAAATGAAATAATTTATTAAGTTCGTGCATTTATAATGTTTAATGCGTTTTTCCAGATTTTACCGCATCAGGAATTATCACACCTTACCATTTAAAAGCCAAAATATGTAGACATTTTAGGAGCTATATTTATCAAAAAGGAAGTTATACTTGCCTGAGGAAGTTGAAACCTTAGTTGCTTCACACGGGGAATTTTAAAAATGTATGTCATACATCATATCAGTATAAAAGGAGTTGGTTGACAATTGTCCATTTTGACTTATTTATAGAATTTATCATGATGAACATTTTACAGTTTTTTTCTAGCTATTATAGTTCCTGTAAAGAAAACAAAAAGAAGCAAAAATTGTCGTAAAAGGACAATACTTAGAAGGGGACAACTTACGATTTTGGCAATGTTGATTTATTTGTAAATCTATACACTTTTGCAATTTGCAGTTAATCTTTATACTTTTTGAGACAAAAAATACAACACACAAAATGAGCAAAACTCGTCTCTAAATGGTAATTAATGTGTTAAACATTTTTGGTAGTTAAAGTTTCTTTCTATTCGCTATTATTTGCGCATAAAGGGGTAAAATCATCGTTTAAGGGCAATACATTCTGATAAGGGCCCATTGACAATTTGTTTGTCATGTTGCATTATTTGTTGATGTAATACTTTTCAAGATAATAACCCCAAATTACTAGAATTGCTGAAAATCGACATTTCAGTGGCAAATCCTCGAAGAATGCAGTTGATAGACTTTCACCAGGAGCTTATTTGTATCTAGTCTGTTTTCTTGTACTGCTTTAATTTTGAGATTTAAGACAAACATTGCACTATTATCTCTGTGTCCTATTCATTTCAAAAGGTAGTGTTGATGGCTCAAATTTTGATACAATTTTCAAACTAGATTGCCCAAGAAATAGTCAGGTAAAGTTTGATAACATTTTGCTCAAAAATTTCAGTGTTTAAAATTAAAACAAGCCGCTGATGGATAACAATTTCAAATATCAACTGATGGTAATAGCCTGCTTGATATTTTAGTCAAATAGATAATTACTTAGTATCACATGTGTTTTCAGTAATATATGAAGGTGATATATTGCCATGATGATTATTGTTTGTATACATTTATGTAATAAGGCGATTTGGTTTGAATGCATCTAAGAGATACAAAATGAAGTGGAAACGAACAATTGTTGGTCATATTACCTATTTGGCATAACTGTATTTCCTGTTGAGAAATTCGAGTCGTCTCCATTTTAGTAGCAAGATCATACCATTTTTCATCTCTTAGAGCTTCAAAAAGGAGCTTATATGCATTACCACCTTTGCGTAATAATATTTTGAATAATGTTCTATTACTTTCATGTCGAGAAATTGAAGTATTACAAATCTCCTCTCTTTCTTTAGTATTTAAGATATCTGCCTCATAAAGATGGTCAGCTAAATCTGTTTTGCAATCTGCATCCCGGACAAACATCATGTAATTCTTTTGTAGCTTTACAATGTGGTCAAACATAACTGAAATTTAAGAAATATTAGAGAAGATTTGTTTATGAATTTGGTAAAAAAACAGAGGATTCCAAGCAAGGTAATCCGAATTTTTGGTGTATTTATTTTTTGTAAATGCGAATCCTGACCAGTAGTGGCTATTAAAGTGTAACGGTTTGGGCTTGCAGCTGCAAGCAGATTTTGTAAAACGTCATCGTTATGTAAGCAAAAAACTAGTGAGCCAGGGTTTTTTCGAAGAACATTTCGTCCTTTTTTTCAAAAAGTTAATCGGAAAGTACTAATACCTAATATTCAGTGTCTACGTCACAAATATTACAAGATGGTTTGAGTTATATATTATAGGGGCTGAAGTTGTGTATATTTATGCATCCTGTCATCGGTGTTTTTACTTTTTAAATTTGTGCATTCCTGGAGCAGCTGGGTCCTGGGGTGAGACTCGGACACAAAGGTTTTTTACAGTGTTGTTTCTATAGCTATTTTGTTTACCTTTGCGTTTATATTTACTTAATTTTATTTTATCAAGAAAGTGTATAATTTATACGATATGTACTTTCAACGACAAAAAAGTTGTCAAATTTACCATCTACTACACCTTTGTTGTTGGCGTCTTTGTTAGATTAATTTGTATTTTTGTTTTAGTTTTTTATAGTCAGGGTTGTATGTCTGTGATGTATGTTTACACAGTTTTGGCTGCTGAGTCCCAATTATTGTCACATTAACTTATCATTTCTGTTGGGTTCCTCACCCAATTTTGTCAATAAAGCAAAACTATTTACAACTATATGGGAGGTTTTTTAGCTATAAAACAAAGTTTAGCTCACCATCTTCTTTTGAAAATGCCTGTACAATGTCAGCAGTATGGCAGTTATTTTTAACTTGTTCTGTTGATTGATTTTTTATTTTTTGAATTAGCCTTGGAGCTTGGTATTTTTATTATATTTTTTTTATACCTATTAGTTGTTACCTTTTTTATTTACAAAATAAGTTAGATGTGGCAAATTATCAAATGTTACAAGAATTGAAAAGAGATGTAGGATCCCTTGCAATATTCATCGTAATAATGAATAATTAGTTCAGAAACATAAGGGGTATTATCATGGACATACCTGTCATGTTAACAATTAACTTGTCACTTGTTTATGTTGTTGTAGGTTTGTATGTTAAGCAAATAGATTAGGTGCTGACAGCTGTTTGTGCGATTTTAATGATTTTTGGTTTATAATGTTATATTCGAATAATTCAGAATATACTTACTTATGTCATGACAACTGATGTTTTCATCACTGTTTTCAGGCCAGTGAATTTTATTGAGAAGTTCTTGAACGTCATCATTGAATGGGTCTGATTCTTTTAAGACATCCTTGAACAACTTGAAGGTATCATATGGGCGTTCAGTCAAGATATCAAGAAAAACCATGTTACGCTCACTTTGTGAGATTGGTTTGATAATTTCTTCTCTGTCCTCTATCATCAAAATACATTTGGATATTAAGTTGTCGAGAACCAGCTTGTCAAGTTCTGTTAATTCCACTAACATGAATAAATCATCATCGAATTGAGAAAATCTATGTTTCTGATCTGGAATTATAAAAAAATGTAATTAATATTATAATTCAAACACATTCAAGAAATCCTCTTAATTTTTTGTTTTCTTATGGTATGTCTTTCCTTTATATGGAATTTTCAATTTCGTAGCTGATAAAATAAGCCATATTACTTATATTAAGAAAATGTTTCAATTGTTTTCGTTGGGAACGTGCGCATTCTGTTGCATTTGTCGTGTTCTGATTATCTTTCACCTTTCTCATGTTTCTATTAAATCTGTACGCTTGCGAGTAAGAAAATGCATGTTACCTGCTATTAACTGGACTTTTTGGGCATTTGCTACTATATTTTTTTCAAGAAGAAGATATGATATGATTGCTGATGCGACTTTTTTCCACCAGAGACCAAATGACGTAGATGAAAGCAGTTATAGGTCAAAATAAGGCATTCAATTACGGGCAAAACCCATACATACAGTACTTGCAACCTTACGTGTTACTGTTTCGTGATCTGATCGATGATTGATCGATACACAAACATGACTGATCGGTGAATGATCGGTGATCAATACAATGAAGTCTACTTGGTTTATCTGATGGATTCTTTTTGACAGTTACCAGGACAACCGCCATCGACTGATCAGTCAATCAACTATATGCACGAATCGGACGGATAAAATGTTTTCAAAATTCTTAATATGTGAAACGAACCCCGCAGTATTTACATGCGATAAACGTAGACTTCGACAAAGACACCTTTAAGCGATATATTGTGTTAAAAATGACATATGAAAAAATGTATAAATTACTTTTAACGCATTCTGTGATTATATCATTATTGTTTCTTTTATTTTTCACCTAAACCAAAAACACAATATTTCTGCATCCTTTAAAAGCAACAACATGTTTTCATTTGAAATCAGTACTCTTTTTATCAATCATGCATATTAATGCAACTAGATGAGTTAGTTTCCATGAACTGTAAATGATATAACATTAAAGATACTCAAACTGTATTTTTGTTAATAAGGTTTATAAATAAAGGAAACAGTAGTATACCGCTGTTCAAAAGTCATTAATCAATTAAGAGGAAACAAATCCGGGTTACAAACTAAAACCGAGGGAAACACATCAACTATAAGAGGAAAACAACGGAACAACAGAAACACTGAACTGCAACAAAAACAAACGCTAACATACATAGAAACGAACTATTTGATAACAACTGCCATAAAATGATTCTTCACTTTAATAAAAATCATATACATGTACCTGTATTGGATTGTAGTACGTTATGAACATTTGTTTGGGATGGTTTTTTTTTAATTAAATATGATAAAAATAAGAGAAACGATACTAAAATTGTGCTTGCATTGCTTAGATATGACCATATTTCTCATTTCTTTTTAAAATTAATGCACTGTTGTTAGCAATCGGTCATTCTAAATGCCCCTGGAAGAGTTATGCTTGTTTTTAGTATAATATGACTAATTATGAAAACAGAAACTTAAACTTTTGTGTGTGTTAAATAAGAGTACAATTATTTAAAAACAAAAATCATACTCCGTCATTGGTATTTAGTACTTTCTGAAAATTGGAATGGATTATTCTATATGCGATATGCTGAATAGTGGATAAACGATACTAAATTGTATTCGCATTTTTTTAAAATGTCATTTTTTTTTTAAATAATGCATTATTTGCATGTTGTCTTTTTACAAGCCTTTGGATAAGTCATTTTTTTTACAAACATGTCAATAGTATGAGGATAAGATATTTGCTAGTGAACTTTTATGCAGAATATATCCCTACACATTAGCTATGGCCGTTTCTGTAGTGGCGTTTTAGATGTCAATCCATGTAATCTTTGCATAACTGGTTAGTTATAAGGTCAGGGATCATAATTTGTTATCAATGATAACACCGATAAAAACAAATGCAGATATCTTATAACAGTATTAAATTGATAACCTTATGAAATATTTCTATTCAAGGGATCGAAAAATTTACGCGGATAAAATCTTAATTGACAACCTAACCATAGGAAATTAAAAATAGCGCACGAAACATCGTTTGTTTTTGTCATAAATTGCTTTGCTTAGTCCGTATAGGACAAAATGGTTTATGCAGATGGTCAATATGGTACAAATGGTTTTGATCATGGGTGAAAATGTTAAATGATACCAAACGATGAAAGTACGAAATGACAACATACCGTACTTTTCCTTTCCGCAAATCAAGAAAAACATTGATTAGTTGATTGTTGCTCATTGCATTACATCCGTTAACATATTTTTTGAGCATGCTAACTTAAAGGACAAAAAGTATAATATTGTTCAAATGACAGAGATTTCTGGAATAGTTATTCTGACATGAGAAAAACAGGTATCCCACATAAACCCGAACAGGAACCAGTTTCTATTCGAAACACAATAGTTGAGTTACCCGGATGTAGGGACTGGCTGATTTACACGCGTTATAAGCTTCAAAGGGGAAGTTAATGTACAACTATATAAAGGTAGTTACATAGATAACTATTCAATTTTTTTTATTGGTCGATGGTTTAAAACCATTTAACTGTTAATTTTGTACAATGTAAGCAGTGTCTGCATATTCCGACCGGATTGGTCAGAATCGGGGATTAAAAGGGTTGAATGCTGTTAACATGAGTGTTTTTGGTATAGGATTTCGATGATCATTCTTTATGGTTGTATCTTTGTTCTTTTTATCTCATAGGGAATTTGGGTTGATATAGAAAGTTTTTATTTATAGGGAGTGACAGAGAGATTACCACAGTTTACATATATTTTGTGCTGTTGCATATCACATGCTAACTACTAAATATCCTTTTGTATTCAGATTTAAATTTTGCATTGAAAATCTTTAGAATTTTTTAAAAATTTACTTTGATTACATATTTGCCAAAATATAAATTTCTGAACCCAAACTTAATTGTTTTCGATGTGATTACCATTACCAGGAGGATAGTTGATGACACTAACCACTTGCTATTCACGGTGTAGATGGTTAGAAATAATGGAAGTAGGTCTATAGACATATCCGCATTTTGCGCAATACAAATTATTTTCATCCAGAGAAAGAATTAAATAAAGATAAAAAAGGACAACCAAAAAGCATATTTCGAAAAAAAAACAAAAAAACACAGACAATACAAAGACAAAAAAGGAGAACGACGAAAAGGAAAATAACTGTCGACAAATCACAACAAGAAAAGAAACCCAATCAATCTAGGAGAGAAAGTCGTGTGCTTCGGATGACAAACAGTCGCTTTCTCATTCATGATATCAGTCGAGTTACTCATAATAAATGTGTTGATAATTAACATTCGGTGATGACACACTCTAGAAAATGAGGAATAGTTTTGACTCTAAAACTACTTACTGGTGATGTTTTTGTTTTAATCTGAGTGCTATTTTATTTTTACAAAATATGATTTGTACCTTCTTTTAAAGTAATGTTTGATTCTGCGTTGGTCTTTAATTTATGAAACAACATTTGATAATTCTTTCAATCTGTCTTTAAATTAAGAATGGAGAATACTTTTTTACAGTGTTGAGGTCAAATAGTGTTTTTTGTTTGTTTACAATAACACAAGGACAGAGTATTAGACTGTATGTTCCCTAACAGATTTTATGGATTTGTAAATAACCAAGGCGGATTCAATAAAATACGAAAAGAAATGTACTCGTTAGCATTATCATCTAAGCTCTTCCAACGGAATTGCGATGCATAATTGCATTGGCATCACTTTTTAATTTCTGGAAGAAAATATAAGAAAAAGCTAGATTGGTTAACAATAAAGGTATATTGAACTTACCACAAAATTGTTTTTCTATATTGCTAATTTGTTCAGAACTATCATCATCTGATTTCAACAGAGGCTTGTAACTGGAGGACAATTTTTTACTGATATCTTCGGAATCTGTATTTTTCCTGTGGACAGCTGGCGATCTGTAAGGCAAGTACAATTTTCCTAATTTAACATGCACAGCCCTTGTAAAGTAAGATTAACAAAACGAATAATGCAAAACCATTGCAGTGGCTGCTCGAACGATGCCCTAACACAAAACGAACGAAGTTTATATGCAACAAAACGCAAGCTTTGTAAGGACTCTAAACGAATGTTTTAAGAACGAAGGCATGTACCATTCACCATAACAAACGATTCCATAATTGCTTGCTTAACCTTCATCGTATCTTTTAGATTGTCGTTTAAATAACATTGTCTCGGTAAGCGAAATTTAGTTTTAATAGCATTTTACATTGCTTTGCTGTAACGTAGCTTCCGTTGAAGTAGTGAAGAAAAATGGTAAGGATAGAGCGAGATGAAATGTGTATAAGAGTATAGATTTAAGATAAGTCAAGACACGTGATTTTTCTAGTTTTTATTCATTTAATTATGATTCTGCCATTTTTGTTTTGAAAACTGTCTAAATTTAAAAACCGAGTATGGGAATTTTAACCAACAGTTATTTATATGCATTCAGTTAAGACGCATCGATTTATCAACTTACATGTAAAGAAGGAAAGAAAAAAGACAGAAATAAGATACCCTGGGAACATTGGAAAATCTTACGTCGAATAAAAAATGACAACACCATGGCAAAAGTGAAAATGACGAAAGGATAACAATAATAACAAATTGCATAGACACAGAAAATAAATAGTTGAAATTACTTAAATGTCTTTAAAAGTCGTTTTGAAAAAAAATCTTAATAAATGATTGTATAAGACTGCTAAAATGAAAGTTTACAGGATAACGAATAACTTATCAATGTATAATTATTCTGCTAAAAATTATCCCATGGATTGAATGGGTTAAAGAGATATGATCACCTAGATTTCATCAGTGCAGTAGGGAAACCCATGCCGGGAGAGAGAGAAAAAATGGGGTCAATTGGCTGTACGTTACCAATAAAAATGAAACTTCATGCGGGAGAAGGTTTGATAAGACCGAAATATGGTCCGTATTTCTAGCTAAAATATCTAAAACAGGATTTACAAACCATTATCATTACGAATCATAGTTTAACTATGACTAGAAAGGATATATGCAGAAATATGGACATTTTTTAAGGGACTTTCCGTTTTGAATTTTCCTTAGAGTTCAGTATTTTTGTTATTTTTACTTTTTTGCAAGATTCTGGAAAATAAATTAACAAATATGTTTTAGCAGCTCTACATATTTAGTAATAAAATACAAAAGTGAATTCGCTCTGATTGACTCATATGTAATTTTTTAATGTTTTAAAAGACTTTCGAAGATGTAAATGTCATAAGTTTTCGATATTCGTCATATTTTGAACAACCAAATATACCATAGATGTTAACTTCGTCTACAGAACAATGTCTTTACATTTTTTGTTTGTGTCGGGTGATATGTTTGAAACTACCACATTTATTTTTGAAGTTTTTGAGAAGATATGGTAGGTAAAACTGGAAATCATTTAATAGACTTAAATGTTTTTACTATTATGATATAATTGTGACCCGCCATGACATTTCCATGCTTATGGCGGTAAACGTCATAACGTCGATGTAAAATAAAGTAACGTAATCGGGGCAACTGTTATTGAATGTTCAATTATATCATGCGGAAATTTGAATGTTATATTAAGATATACAAAACAAGTAGATTTTTTACGTAAAATTAATAAAGTACAAATGTAGTTAAAATGCCTTTTAGGATCGCGTTTAAAATTTATCTTTTAGATTTCATTGCGTAAATAACTTCCTCCTGCATCATTAATATGACACGGTTATACAAATTGGTTTAAGTTATATCACCATTGCGAGATATTTTTTAAAAAATAAAGTACCGAAAAATCATTAATGATGCGTCAATTAAGTGTATCATCAGTTGCTATGGCAACCGAATGGTTAATAGAAAAATAAAAATCCATTTGATATTTAGTTATAAAAGCTATAATTAAAAGACTAGACCCCCTCCCCAAATAATAAAAAAGTAAAAAAAAAACATGACAAAATTGAAAGTAACTATAATAGATGCACATATGAATTATTAAACGAATATCTTACAAAACAAAGAATTAAATGTTATTACGAAAAAACACATACTAACATTCCCTTGTATTCTATTCCACAAAGTCCAAGTCGGACGTTAACCAGGGATTGATTCTGGTATATAATAAGGTCATCTCCTAACTTATACAGGCGGCACAACCCTTGATGCAGTTGGGCGTCCGTATGGCTATGCAGGATGCATAAATACTAAGCCACGTCCGATCGGAATAGTAATGCTGAGTCCGATACTTTTAAAAAAAAAAAAGAGACGAAAGATACCAAAGGGATATTCAAACTCATTAGTCGAAAACAAACTGACAATTATATGGCAAAAACAGTCGAAAAAGACGAATAGACAAACAACAGTGCACAAAACGCAACATTGGAAACTAAAATTGAGCAACAAAAACCCTACCAAAAACCGGGAGTGATCGCAGGTGCTCCGGAAGGGTAAGCAAATATCTGCTCCACATGTGGCACTCGTCGTGTTGCTCAATGACATGTTAGTACAAACTCGGGGATAAGTCTATTTCGGAAGGTCACATTCAAGGAAAAGAGAACGGGATTGTGGTCTGCATCGTGAACAAATATTCGAAAACCGTCAACCAACTCGCGATGGTCTCCGAAATTTTTTTGAATGGATGATCCTAACTTCACCACTTGCAACTCTTGGTTCAATAGCTTCATTGTCAGCAGCAACCTTCTATCAAGGAAATACAATTAGAAAATGCAAGCTCTAGAATATCGTTTAACTGGGAGATATATACTCCATATGCAATCTACAGAAAAAAGTTCCTGTATTAAAGTCAGCCTCAAATGAATAAAGGAACAAGGTCAAGAAGAGGAGGAGCGCAGTTAAGATTACACATGCTAATCATTTCGATCGTATTATTCTACATAACCAACCATTTGTATTTCTAAATTGTTGATTTTTCCTTGTCATGAATACATGAATTATTTGCCATTGGACATTATGCGATGAATATTCTATGAATCTAAATATATTAAATTTTTAACCTACTGTAATTTTAAATATGGTACTGTTTCAATGATATAAATATTGAATTATTTTATACATATTCGTAGAATCGAAATAATCAGTGCTACACATGGCTGTCGAAGAAAGATTACGGTTTTTGGTGATCTTCTTACTTGACTGTTTATTTACATTTAAAGATAAAAAATCTAAAAAGGAAATCTCAAAACCTTGATATTCTTAAGCTATCACAAGACAACGTGAAAGATAACTTCACTTTTGTTTTCGTATTAGCAGTAATTTCGTCACTTGGGGATAAAGATTTTACATTCGACGATATACTTAATAGCCCGAGCCGTGTGATTCCCGTATATTTTAGAAGGTACGTGTAACATGTAACGTAGTAAGATTAAATTTCACCTTATGAAAGAATTTCTCTCTTAAAATCACATAGGTACGTATTTGAAAATTAATACGATTGCTTTATTTTGTTAACCGTTTTATATTTCTCTACTTTTGTCTATTATGACGTCTTCATCAATCGAAAAACACGTTAACCTAAATAGAATCACATGAGTGGTTCCTTCAACTCAAAACTAGTTAGAAGTCTCTAAGTTGATATTTGTGTCGTTGGATAGCTTGTTCATTTACATCTAAGCCATATCTCTTTTCGGCATTTCTAAAAGCCTCTCTGAACTTCGAACTCAGATGTACAATAAAACAATAACATCTATTAAAAGATGACAAAAAAAAAATACACTGACTTTGTGTTTCACTTCGTAAACAAGTTAACAATGAAGTTTCAATTTAATGAACATTTAGCTGATATTTTCCCGGACAAATATCATAAAAGCATACTTAAAAAATAAATGTTTATTCAAATGCGAAAATTTTATTACGACGAAATATTTCGATTTATCTTGTTAAATACAAAGTCACTCCTAAATGTCAAAGATCAAACGATGTATCATTTATTTATTGCTGTTAAAAGTTACCTGGACGGTTTGATTGCGTATTTATTCTTAATTTCATTACACGCAATCCTTTTATTAAAGTTCCCTTTTCTTCAACAATTTTTACCACTGTATCTCACAGCTTTAAATAAGTCTTATGAGTACACTTTAATTTCCACTAAATGTATTGTTTACAGTTTTTCATCTTCAAAATTTGTTTATTAGATAATATCGAACAACATTGGTTTTTTGTTGTTATGTTGTTAGCAAAATTACAAGCATACCTGCATATCAATTGTAAACCTACCGAAACCATTTTTGAACTAATATGTAAAGAATCACCGTGGCCACTCCAATCAACAGTACTGATATCACCTACAAATATTTTCATACAAACATATTATTTGATTTGATGAAAATCAAATTTATTTACAAAATTCTCAACAAGAGCACGACATTATAAATTATCTAATATCTCATATATCTCTTTTCTCTTTAACAACAAGACGTTAATCTGTGCACGCTGTTTCTGTTGAATTGTCAATTTGCTAGAGTTCTGCTTATTTCACAATTTAATCATCTTAGTCGGTAAATATCATGTAAAATAGCACATAGAGGAACATGTGTAATGACCAACAGGAAAATAGTTGCTATAGAAACCACAAATAGAGTTTTATTTTTAGTCCTAATATATTTTGATACTTGCAATTGTTTTTGTTCCAGCATTATTGACGAGACTTTTGATTACAAAATACGCTTTTGATACAACAAAGTACATATCAAATAGTTTCTCTAGTTATTTTGATGTCACCGTCAGGTTATCATCCGTCAATAAATCAGTGATTCTGTGATGACATGACACATCATTGGTGCGGTCATTTTATGAAAATTTTCTGTTTATAAAAACGCTTCTTCATTTAAAACAATGAGGTATCTTTACTCACAGGTTATATTTATATGGAAATAAGGTTTTCATTGGTTTTGTTAACATAATTCATTGATTTGGACGTCGCACTGTTGTAACTTAAGAGCGCCTTGATGAGTGTTCTGAGGATTAAAGCCGAGTATGACTTATTAAATTGTTAACCTTGGATATTCGAAGAGCTTTTCGGTCATTGATATGCATTTTAAAAATCAGTTAAAAAAGTAGAAGAAGACAGACAACTCTATCTGATTGTGTTTTTGTTTCTTATGATAAAGGACTCGGAGTTGCCAATTACAGATTCAAAACTTAAACATTTTATTAAACAAACAAAAATTTACCCTCGGTTTAAAATCTGTATTAACATGCGTATTTACAATGTTTGTTAAACGTAAACGTATAGCAACATGACCACCGTTCTTTTATTTATTGACATATTAGGCGATAATTGGCATGCATGATAAGTCATGTCTGATCATAACTGCTTGCAAACGTATCATAATGGATATTCATTTAAAAAAAAAACATTTTTTTCAAAGACATTGCATTAAAAACATACAAAAACGCCGTAACGGTTTTAAAACCATAAAAAGCTTTGCAAAAAGCAAATCACGTTTTTATCACTTCATTAATTTGTTTAAACGTCTTTTCCAGTCGTATCTTGTCTTAGTTCTGCAAGAGAAGTCTTTTTTGATACAATTGTGAGCATTTTAGGTGCACAGTCACTCATTTTTAATTGTTGTCCTTTTAGCATATATACAAGAATACCTTCATACCGATTGAAACCTACCGTTACCATTTTCGAAATAATCTGTAAAGAATCACCGTTGCCAAACCATTCAATCGTACTGATATAACCTACAAATAGTTTCATACAAACATACTATTTGATTTAATGAAATCACATTTGTTTGAGATTTCTCAACAAGAATTCGACATTACACATGTTCCAATATTTAATGTATCTCTTTTCTCTTTAACTCTTTTTGGATTGTGAACCTGCTTAGGTTCTGATTATAACACATTTTAATTATTTTTGTTGGTAAATATCACATAATTCAGCACATAGAGGAACATGTTTGATGACCAACAGGAAAAGAGTTGCTTAAGGAACCAGAAATATAGTTTTATCTTTATTTCTATCATATATTGACAGTTGTATTGTTTTTGTTCCAGGTTCATTGATGAGTCTTGTGTTAACGTAATGCAGGTTTGGTAAATGAAGTACCAAAATCATGTCTTTGTTAATTTGTTCAACCACTGAGTAGATATCACCATCAGGTTATCATCCGTCAATAAATCAGTGATCCTGTGATGACATGACACATCATTGGTGCGGTAATTTTATGAAAATCTTGTTTAGAAAAACGCTACTTCATTTAAAACAATGAGGCAACTATTGTTTTTTTTTTGTTTTTTTTTTGGAAATAAGGTTTTCGTTGTTTTTTTTTTAACTTTGTAATTAATTTGGCCTTCGCATTGTTGTAGATTGAGCGCCCTGGTCAGTGATCTGAAGATGAAACCCAGTTCTTGTGATAAAGAATTCGGAGTTGCAAAACATAGACTCAAAATTTCCAAATTTTTGTAGCCCCAAAATTTAGCGTCCTTTTGTCTTTGTTTTTAACTTCTGTATTAACGTGCGCATTTACAATGTTGGTCTAAAGTAAATGCACTGCAAAATGACCAACATCGATTTAATCGTACTGATATAACCTACAAATAGTTTCATACAAACATACTATTTGATTTAATGAAATCACATAATAGGTGATAATTTGCATGCATGATAAGTTATATTTTTACAATTATTGCATTGGAAAAGTATCATAATGGATATTTATTTAAATGAAAATCATATCATATTTTTTAAAGACATGGCATAAAAAAAACTAACAAAAACGCCGTTTTAAAACAATAAAAAACATAGTAAAAACAAATCGCGTCTTTTCCAGTCGTATCTTGTCTTAGGACTGCACTAGGAGTCATGTTTAACACAAATGTGAGCATTTTGGTAGCGCAGTAACTTAATGTTATTCATTTTACTTTGAAACGATTAATATCGATCAAAATGATTATTTGAAAACAGAATTATTGTTCTCTATTATTTAAAAAAAAAATCAATAAGATATCTCACTTAATTTTATAAGAAGATGACTGGAGTACAGAATAATAATCGTAACCTTTCAAATAAATATTCAAAATTTGCAATATTTTTCTTTTAAAAAACAAAGTTGATCTAGACATTGATACTAGTATCTATAATGTTATTTGTAGTATTACAGCGGAAAGTTCAATAACTGTTTTCAGTGAAAAATATAAAAATATGCTGAGTTGAAGAAAATAAGATTAACTAGAAAAGCATGCATTATATGCGTTATCTAATTCCCCCTTATTCAACTGTTTTATAACACATATATGATTGAAAGCTTGAAATGTAGAAATTATTGTAGGGTCAAAGGTATTTTTCCAAATAAATTTAAAATTATTAGTAATACGGAAGAGATCTTAAACGAGCGTGTTTATAATGAAATGTTGGTAAAATATATGCAAACCTTATAATGATAATTATTTGTACACGCGTTTTATTTGCTACGTTGAAAATAATTGATTCTTTTTTGTATATTCACTTCCAAATAATATACTTACTTCCATGTGCAGGGAGATTCAATCATACAGACACTATTGTCTATATATTCATCAACACATTTGCGTCAACTCTGAAAAATATACACACATGCATTTAGATAACTTTGTTTTTGTGAGGATGGATTGCTGTATGAATAATATTGATCTAAGTAATATTTTTACGTACTATGACTTCCAAGTTAAAAATGTTTATTATACTTTAGAAAATTTTGAACAAATGTTGGAGAGAAAAGAGAGAGAATAACTAAACTTCTTAAAATAAACTTCTTTTGGTCAGTCAAAGCTGGTCGGTGGATCGTCAAAAATAGTAATAAAACGTTACTGGGCTGTCACTGACAAAAATCTTAATACAAATGACTCTAATAAGCGTTCATTGTTACAATGAATCATTGACCTTGCAGTTTGTAGGAGCCCTTGTAAAGACAAATATTTGTATGATAACCCTATACCACCAAAAAAAGTATGTATAAGTCAAATAAGCTTGCTTACAAATTTTAATATGTTTTTTATTACTCAAATAATATATCATATCTTTACATATCAAAACAGTTACGTTCCTTTGCTTTCGTTGACTTCGTATCTTCTTGTTTTCGAAATGTACTTCTGAATACAACTTACGTCAGTTACATGAAAGAATAATAAAATTACTCAGTCTTTAACCAATTTCTTTATATAAAGCTCGATTTTTGTCACAGCAGATGGAAAATATGCGAGAAATGACTTGATATAACACGCAAAAAATCCAATTAATGAAACTAATTGCGAACAGAACGTCAGAAAATATTGCACAATCCAATTAAATTTAAAACAAAGAGGAGTACACTTAACAGGCCAACTCAATAAGCATTCAGCTTCACACTGTACAAGTCTTGAATGTGCAAAAACATAGATTCAGTTTAAGATTTTCTTAAATGATTTGTTATGTCAAAGAGCCATTTTTGTTTAAATCATGTCCTTACCATGTTCTTCAAAGCAATATTTAGAGTGTGAATTTAAAACAATATGTTTTACAGATCTGCCTTAAATCTTACTAAAATTCTCATATTAAAGATTACATGATTTCTGAGAGAGAAACGATAAGGATATTAGTGACGTCACGACGTATGGCTGCTTTTTCACAAATAAGCAGTTTGATATTTATAGTGTTGCAGGTGTATTTTAAACCGAATTTTTTCCTGAGACAGATTATTTTGTCTTAATTGAAGCCATTTGTGACTACACTTTGTTATGACTAATCTTGTTTCGACGATTTCATCGGTTTTCAATGTAAACAAAACGAAGGAAATCCCAGGGGCGGTGTATGTTGACGGAATGTGTAGTATTAATAGATATTCAAATTCCTTTGGTGGTCGTGTTGTTTATTGGGGTCAATACCAAGCCTTAACCTTTTCTGAGGAATTCCTAGGACAGAAACATAATAACGATTGTGATGATCTTTCATCTGTCATTATTGCCCTTGTGCAAGCTAAGGCATAAAGATTAAAAAGAGTCGATATATTCATACGGACATTAAATGTGTTAAAGATGGTATTACCAAATTGTAAAGTGAGAAACTAATGGATGAAAAACTGAAAGAAGGAAGAAATAATGTCCTAAACCAAGATTCGTGGAAGCCTTTGATTGCAGTCATTCAGGACAAAGAGAAATAAATACAAACATGAAAAAGAAACATTAGGAAAGAAAGTTAAAATAATTTAAGAAAAAAAGGGAGAGCAGACAAAATGAACAAACTGTTCAGTAATGGACATAGTAAATGGTCACCACAAACTGCAAACAAATAGCTGGAAAATTTAATTTGGAAAAGTTTTAAATGCTTGAAAAGGAAAAAGACATTTAAATTTTTGAACCTGACCCTTAAGTTGTAAAACAGCATTTAGACTGTTCATAAAACCAAATCACAATACTTCGAAATGAAGTAAAACATTGCGATAAAAGATTGAGCAAAAATACACGAAAAAGAATTTAAGGAAACATCGGTAGATTTTTGTTTTCAAATTAAATAATAAACTGTTTGCTTTGAAATTACATGCAAGAAAAATTGATGCTAATTTATTAGTCGTTGATTCACAACAAAAGGTAAAATCACCAAGGTTGATGCCAAAGATGACAGGAAGAATGAGTTAAAAACAAGGGGGAAATGAATACAACTAACTCATTTTAAAAAATCAAACAGTTTCAACACCAAATTGTAATATACATGTACCAATTAAAAAAATAAACATAATAAAGGAAAATGATCAACAGGACAGGGAGAATGAGAAATCTATATCAATGATAAGTTCATCAAATCCACATTTTGTGAATTTTGTGAATAACCGGTACTTATCTGGAGAAAAAAAAAACTAATCAAATACACAAACAATATATCTAAATATTTCCAAACTTTAAAAGAATCAGAACTTCAAAATGATGCTGTCAGACTTCACACTTTAGGAAATGACATTAAAGAGAATGAATTTTTTAGGTATGTCCAAGACACAATGTAGTCTCGATATCGACGACATCGACGATATCGAGTCGATATCGACAAATAATGATCCAAATGTTTATCTGCTACATTTTTATATATAAACAATTTAGTTTCTCCTGGTTCGTCTAATAAAGATGTCGATATCGACGACATCGACGATATCAAGACGATATCGACGCATTATGTTTCAAATGATTATCTACTACGATGATCTATATAGACAATTTAGTTTCTCCTGGTTCGTCTGTTTTAAGATGTCGATATCGGCGATATCGACGATATCGAGTCGATATCGACACATTATGTTCCAAATGTCTATCTGTTTTATAGTTATGTATATAAACCAAAAAGAATGAGGATGTTAACAACTATACATCACCTTACAGTCTTCACAACAAAGATTAACAATAATACCGGCATGACAAAATGTCAAATATTTCAAAAGGGAAAACAAACATCCTGATTTATGTATAAATGTTAAACAAAAATCCAAAATGACCGACAGCAACGGACGACAACCACTTAATCAAAGAGCTACCGAGAAGAAAAAATCACAGTAAGGATGTGGCGAGGTTAAACTTGAGCGTTAAAATTTCCCTTAAATCTAGGACGGTGGTATAGCATCAATACATAAAATTCAACCTACGAGTACTCGAAACTATTCAAAAAAAGTTAAAATATAATTTCAATAAATAGATAAACCATGTTTTCTCTGTTTAAAATGGGAACAAATTCACATCCCATAGATTTGAATTTTACATAGCAAGTCATGTTTGTACTATATCTGCATTTTTAGATCTTTGTATGCAACCATATCTCACTTAGTTAACACCTAAATTACCATGTCAGTCATTGTCAGTGTAATACAAGCAAAAATTTTTTTTTTTTTTTTTTTTGAAGAATACATTAATGTGTTTTAAAGGATACATTACTTTGGAGAAGTGACCACCTGATTGTCTTTTAAAAAAATTAATATATATTACAATTCAGCCATCATATATTCCTATATCAATCTTAGGTCTTAATTTAATCAGCATGTAATGTCTTATTTTTATTCATTATTGTAAGTAATCACCGATATCGAGTCGATATCGAGTCGACATTGTCGATATCGACGATATCGACATCAGGTGTTGTCATTGGTGTCGTAATCAAAATCTAGACCTGGTTATGATATGAGTGGATAAGTTCATCGATATTGATTCGATATTGTGTCGACATTGTCGATATCGACATCTTGGTATGTCTTGGACATGTATGGAATTTTTTTGCTGAGACATCGATAAGTGTTACAAAGTAAGAGTATCAGCTGCAATCTCTTGACTATTGTATGAGTTATAAATGTATTACCCATATGCAGGAATAGTTGAGAAATTGCTAAATTGCTGCTAAGGTGAGGAAAATGTAATATTCAATAATCGTTTTGTTTTGTAATAAACTCTGGTACCGAGATAATTAATGTAGTCAAATTCGATATATATGTCTTAAAATTAAGCAGAAGAAGTTGTAGCAGTGGTTTCTAGTATCTGTAGTTCAGAATTATATATTACATGTAATTGGAACCAATCAAAAAAAGTTTAGGATTGTTAATAGGCATAACATCATCAATATACCAAAGTATATTTTAGAACATTTTGTGAAATTCTAATTAATTTAAAACAGGCTTACAAAATTTCATGCCAGAGAAGCGTTTCGTGTACAAAAGACCCAATAGTGACTCTCGATTTAAAACAAATTTTAAAAGGCCAAATAAAATTAAGAGCATTGTGTGTGTAATTTTTTTTTTGATTACTTGTTACTACCTTATATGGTCGTTGACATATACGAACTGCAATTTATATGTTGAAATATGCATATCTCAATGATTAATTTAGTTTGTTGTATTGACGAACGTTACTTTTGAACACAGCTAAAGAATGTTTGCCATTCTGTTGTTTTCATGAAATCGAAATAACTACGCTCGCATTGTAAAAAAATAGCGAACAGAAAAGTTTGGAATCTTCTTATTCAATTGCTATGTTAAATGTATCAAAGTTTCTTCGGGCTCAAGGAGAGAAAGTCCAACGTTATCCTTAGAAAAAACAAACAGACATAAAATGTGACGAATTTGACAGTTTTGATCAAACCAACATATTTAGATGATTTCTCAAAAGACCCCGACTGAAGGCAAAACAAAGATGTTAATAATAATGATGCAAATTATTAAAAAAACGAGAATTCCGATTTGGATAAGAACAAAGTATTAGATAAATCCGGTAATAAACCAGAGGAAGACAATATCGGAATATATGAAGTAGGACTTGAAAAGACAGTAGTACCAAAACAAGAACGTGTTTTATATTTTTAGAAACGACAAGAGAAATATTTTTCAGTTTCTGGGAACTCATAATGGAGGTAAATATTTGTATGTAATTAAGTTGATGTGAAACACAGAAAGATGACGAAATTAAAGCAGAAGAATGTTTTTGAGTTCACATGCTATAACAAAAACAGGACAATATCTCCAATGTTCAAAATCATGCTCTTAAGTTCGCTATGTAACTGAGAAAAGATGATGTATAAACTGATTATGAACGCAGGATAAATAATATCTAA